TAACATAAAGATAATGCAAAAAAAATTGCAAATTATTTTTAAGGACCCTTTTTTCTATGTTGAAAAGTATTTTCACCTTTTTTTATTATTTAATAAAGGCTGTACAAGCATTTCATGTGCCCTTTACCGCTATCCGATGTTAGGATAACAGCTATCCGCTTGCGAAAGGGTGTTAGTATACGATAAACGTCAAAACGGGCAATCCGATCGGGCAAATTTGGTCCAGCAGTTTGTACATGCAGCTATAGCTAACATATAATGTAAATAAATATATGAGCAAAGTACTTTATTTCATAGATATTATATATAAATATACAGTTGATTACCACCCTCAGAAGAGAATGGACCTCTCTCAAAGCGTTCCTAGCTTTAGAGTTTGGGGAGCGCTGCATTTAGTTGCACATGTCATATCCTACAGGAGAGTAGCAAATGTAATGTAGAATAAAACAAGACTCCATCTTCAGCTCGTGCAGCTGAAAGAAGGAGTTTAACCCCTGATGGGTATACAAGCCATGTACAACAATACCGTTTTTCTTTTTACCTAACTAGCTGTGAGGACTGGACTGCTGTGGAAGATTCCTCTCAATGGGGCTTTAAGCTTACAACTCCCCATTTTGCATAAAGGGTGGAGTAATGGGTTTCCTTAAAATTCCCCTTAGTCTGAATGGATTTGGTTTGGCAGTCCGAAAACACTGAAGTGTTCACATATTAATACTCTTGTTATGGTTCCAGTCTCTTTATTATAAATCAGGATATGCACTAGCAAATTGTGTAAATCCATCCTGCACTGTTAACAAATAATGATTTTTTTCTCACTGTTTCTGATAACGTTACAATATCAATGAATAGTTTCTCTCCCATGTTTCCCACAGTACTGGGCATGTGAGGGCCCATCTTGGCTTTAATACTCCTCTCCTTAGTCAGACAAACATCACAAAGTTCTGATTATCTACAAATCCTGTAATGTGTAATCCTGTTGTCGTATGAATTCTATGCCAAAGTTAAGTGCATGATTTAATCGTTTTATCACTATGGGTTCCACTTCAAAAACTGTTTCACTGTATCACTTGTAGCAGCACTGCTTTGCTGCTGTTCTGTAGGTCTCAATTCCCCTTCAGGTATATTTTTCCTTGCTAGCATTTCCCTTGTATACTGCTAAAAAAGATTTCACTGTACTATTCTTTCCGAACTTGGGAGTTTCTAGCATTTAGCTTGGATTCGTAGGTCTCTCCGCTTGCCACCACTTTTGTAGAAAAAGCCTAAACTCCTCCTTAGTCTTTATCATTTTTATAATGTATCACAAACTCTGTCCTCTCTACCTATCCATGGGTATATACAATCCCTAAATAACAATAGTCTATGTTGAACTGTCTATATTTAAGCATAAAAGGTGCAGGTAAATAAGTTGACCGCAACTAGGGTCAATGAACTAAAGAACGTATATTTACGGGTTACAAAGATATGAATGAAATAGGTTTATTTATCATATATATATATATATATCTGATAAGTAAAACACAGATTATTTTTCCATTTCTTTATATATAGATATATATATTATATATTACAAATAGATTGTCAAGATACTTGACAACCTATTTGATATATTAGATTAGCTAAAGTCCCTGGCGTTGCCCGTGGAATAATTGGCGTTTTTTTGTTTCAAAACGAAACGATTAGTTTAAAAAAAATTTATAACGAAAAAATACTTAGTGTCTTGTTTTATTATATAGAAGATACATCTTTGTGATATTTTATTTAACCTGATCCGTCTGTATCTCGGTTACTCATCCAGTCAGAGTTTACTTGGAGGATATTATGACACGGCCAGCTGAATAAAAAACTATAAAAACTGCTGAAAAAAATCTCAGATGTGCTCTACATTTGTAAATAAGCATTATGGTAAAAGCTAAAACTAGCTCAAATACGAAATTTTATAAATTTGAAATGATTTTCCTTAATGACCATCCTTTATCATATATCGATTTCCCACCATTTTTCATTATTAAACCATGTAAAATTAATTTCAAAAATGGCAACCTAATCAGGGTGGGGGGGGGGGGGAATTTTTTATTTAATCAAGTCCAATAGAATTGAAAACTAAGTTTTTTCAGACCCTTTCCTAAAAAATGTAAAAATGTGAAAATCCTGGAATGCACATTGGATGTATTACAAGTATGCCTTGTGTTCTTCAGAATATTAGCCCATTCACCTTCTTTCTTCATTTCTTCAAACGTACTGCGATGGGGATTATTCTAAAATATGAGAAAGCCAAGGTGGAGATATATACTTTGGACTGAATAATTCTTTTTGATTTACCTTTAAACTGGGTGTAGAAGAAGACATGTTGTGATTGAATATTTTGATAAATATGACGGAAATATACGGTTCTCAATAAAGGCAATAGATTTTTTTCTTTTTAAAATCATGATTTTAAATCTCACAGGTTCTTCATTTTTTTTCGCGTCATAAAATATCGTTTTAAGATTATTATTAAGTTGGAAGTCAATTTTAAAAATCTTTAATTTTTGAACTTTACAGTTATTAATTCTTAGCGCGGTTAAACTTCTTTTCTTAACTATAATTAGGTAAAACGCCAACATTTTTCATATCCTAAAAGTAAAACTTTTTTGGATATTTACTTATCTTCTTATTTTCTTATTTAAACAATCACAAGATGGTCCTTTGCGAAGATACAACTAGGAAGATAAAGAGTCCATTCTTCTTTAGTATTGAATTAAAGAATGAGACTGTATCCGGCTTTTCATAAATATTCTTCAATATGGAAGGGACTTTAAGGGGAGTGTTTACGAAAAACACTTAAAGGGAATATAAGCATAACATCAACTGACCCTTTATACAAAAATGGCAGTGCCCGAGTTATAACGTTACCCTTGACACCTTTTAATCTGATGAAAAATGTGTAATTGATACCGTCACAAACGAAACTGAACAGAGACACAAAAACATGTCTATCTAATTCATACTTGATCAGACAAAGCTTTTAAGGGTACCGTTGTCAATCGGGGCTGGTCATATTTTTTAGAGGTTCACTTGAAATTTCACTTACAGTTATAAGTAAAAAATATTTTTTTCTTTTCAGTTTAAATGGCTAGAGAGTAGAGACACATATTTAAGTCTCACTGCGAAGTTTGAGGCAGTATACTGGAACTATATACATTGTGATCCCGTACTCGTAGTTCTTCTATTTTTATTTTACACACAAGTATGAGAAAATCCCATATATTCTACCTAAACCCTTTGATCCTTTACATTTGATTGAATCTTTCCTGAACCCTTTGATCCTTTACATTTGATTGAATCTTTCCTGAACCCTTTGATACTTTACATTTTATTGAATCTTTCCCGAACCCTTCGATACTTTACATTTGATTGAATCTTTCCTGAACCCTTTTATCCTTTACATTTGATTGAATCTTTCCCGAACCCTTTGATACTTTACATTTGATTGAATCTTTCCCGAACCCTTTGATACTTTACATTTGATTGAATCTTTCCCGAACCCTTTGATCCTTTACATTTGATTGAATCTTTCCCGAACCCTTTGATACTTTACATTTGATTGAATCTTTCCCGAACCCTTTGATCCTTTACATTTGATTGAATCTTTCCCGAACCCTTTGATCCTTTACATTTGATTGAATCTTTCCTGAACCCTTTGATACTTTACATTTGATTGAATCTTTCCCGAACCCTTTGATCCTTTACATTTGATTAAATCTTTCCCGAACCCTTTGATCCTTTACATTTGATTGAATCTTTCCCGAACCCTTTGATCCTTTAAATTTGATTGAATCTTTCCCGAACCCCTTGATCCTTTACATTTGAATGAATCTTTCCCGAACCCTTTGATCCTTTACATTTGATTGAATCTTTCCCGAACCCTTTGATCCTTTAAATTTGATTGAATCTTTCCCGAACCCTTTGATCCTTTACATTTGTTTGAATCCTTCCCGAACCCTGATAATGCTCAGCATGGCTATCAAAGGCATACGACATTGGTTTGCAAAGATAAAGGGATGATAAAATCAGAGTTTAACTAAGGAATGTTAAATAGAAATCATATAATTTTTAGTCTCACCAAAAGCTATTCAAAAAAGTACATATGAAGCCTATATGCAATTTATTTTAGTCTAATTGGCCCAGTCTAATCACAATTTACGTCCATTCTGTGGATTTTATTAAATCCGAAAATGTTTTAAAGTAATATTTTTTGCCTGGTTTGTGACCCAGTGAAGGCAGTTAAATGAGGTGACAAGGTCAAAGGTTCCCCTATACTGGTTGCAAAAAATCTAGAACATTTTCTCTTTGTATACATTAAAAAACAAAAACAAAAAATATTCGCGGATTCATAAAAAAATTCGTGGTTTTTAAATTTAATAAATATCAAAATTTGTTGGAGGAAACACAGGTTACCAAGATCGAGATATTTTTTCATTCGAAATTATTTAAATTCCACGGGCAACGCCACTTCAGTTAATTATTAATAAAGATCTAACCTTCGTTTGGTTTGTCTCTGTGTCAAGCTGCAAAAACTCCAATTTATCAAGATTGTATTTTGATTTGCAGTATTCAATCATATCCTGCGAAAACGATCAGATTTGAATATTTTTTATAAACATCCAACATAATTGTTTATTTAGAAAACAGTTTCTTTCATTTTTTGGTTCTTTTACTTCATTACAGACCATTTCTTAAGGGGTACCTGGGAGTAAATCGTTTAGTTCGTTCATAGAAAATTTTTTTAAAGACTTTTAACATTTTAAAACTGCGTTTTGTTAAAGTTTGTTTTTATTAAGCTTTGCAATATTTTTATCATAAAAGAAATTGTGAAGGATAAACGAATCAAACTTTTTTCTGAGGGTCAAAATTTGGCATAGTGCAAGAAAAACAAATGTTTATACTACACAATTTTTAAATTTAGAAAATTATTCTCAGACTTTTGTAAAACCCTTTTTAAAGTCGAAAACCTTTAAAAAACCAAAACGAACTGAAAACCAATAAAAATCTAAAAAATCTATAGAAACCTATAGAAACCTCTAGAAACCTTTATAAACCTATGACAACCTGTAAAAACCTATAAAAAGGAACCAAAAACCTAACCTGTGAGATATCGACTCCTATAACTCTTCCAGGATTACCCAGCTCACCAAACCTTCCTAAAAGTAGATCGTCACATCACCTAGCTTTTTGCAATATTCTTTTATCGACAAGTTTGCTTTTTAACATGAACGAAATTTTGACTCTGACATTAAACATTTATTATAATTATCTATATATTACATTTTTTCAAAATTCGTTTCTTTTCAAATTTTTTTAAAACTTCCAATTGTGACGGCGGTCACTTTAGTATTCAGCCATAGCTAATGTGGTTTCTCCTGTACCACAACCAAAATCTAAAACCTGAAATAGTTTTTGAACATATATCAATTATAAGCGATTTCAGAAGTTTTGCATTTTCTTCCCCTTTTATCAGATTTTAATTTTCACCCAGATTTTCTACTTATGGTTTAGCAAATTTTATATCCCAATCTGCAAATTTATTGAAGACAATCTATTTTTTTTAAGTCGACTACTGAATAGGGGTTTTCTATTTTCCCCCTGGTTTGCATGTGGTTTAACTGAATCCCTGGTTTGCATGTGGTTTAACTGAAGCGACTTTGTGATTTGTCATAAAATACTTTTTTGATACTGTACTTTTACCTTTTCTGTCCCAGATAGTGGAGGAAAGAACTTGACCAGCTGATTTATAGTTTTAGTGTTAATAATGAAATGGGACTGATTGGAAACTGAGTACTGCTTGGGAGTTACAAAGTTCATGGCGGTTCTAAAATTTATTTTATATTATTAACAATCTTCAATACGCCTCTAAAATTTATCATATATTAACAACACTTCAAAGCGACTCTAAAATTTGTTAAATATTAACAAACTTCAATGCCACTCTAAAATTTATAATATATTAACAAACTTCAATACGACTCTAAAATTTATTATATATTAACAAACTTCAATACGCCTCTAAAATTTATTATATATTAGCAAACTTCAATACGCCTCTAAAATTTATTATATATTAACAAACTTCAATACGCCTCTAAAATTTATTATATATTAGCAAACTTCAATACGCCTCTAAAATGAATTATATATTAACAAACTTCAATACGCCTCTAAAATTTATTATACATTAACAAACTTCAATACGCCTCTAAAATGAATTATATATTAACAAACTTCAATACGCCTCTAAAATTTATTATATATTAACAAACTTCAATTCGCCTCTAAAATGAATTATATATTAACAAACTTCAATACGCCTCTAAAATTTATTATATATTAGATTCTAAGTCAGAGCTTTTGTGAGGATAGTGATAACCCATGAACATTTGGTCTTGATATCCAATATGGGCACTTTAAAATTTAAGGATCAATACTTGATCCCTTATTGTTATCCTTGCAGGCATAATCACGATGGGATATCAAATTGAGGGATTAAATTAATCCTTCTTCATATGATAGAGGTTGAACCCGAGATTTACAACACAGTTCTGACTTTTGAACACAGTGCTCCTGAGTTTTGTGATAAATATTGAATCCTATAGAAAGGTATTCAACATTAATATACTAAAGTGGAAAAATATAATTACCTTAACCCGCTTAATAGCTTCATATTGAAAATTATTACGGTAATCTGAAAAGATTAAATCTTAAATATGAGTTTAAATGATGTAAGATTGCATGATTTTATTGTCTTAAATACAGCTTTGTATTGTCTATTTATAAGATTACACTAATTGTCATAAATGCAGTTTTTATTGTCTAAATATAATATTGAATTGTCTTAAAGGGAGTGACCGGCAATGTATGGTAGTTGAATTGAGAATGTAGTATTGGGGATTTTTTTTAAGGATTCATTTAAGACATAGTAAAAGTTTTAATGATCTATAATAACAGTTTTAGCGCAAAGTCGACTTTTAAAATCATCCATTTGGGTGGTTCCTTTTTGAGAATCGGTTTAAAAAAAAAATTTTAATAACGACGACAAAAATGTTTCAAAAATTCTACAGTTAACTAAATAGATGATTAGTAACATATTTTTCAATAGATATTTTGTTAATAAATCAATGTTAGAATCAATAATTTCTTTTTCACTATTATATTGAATTTCTTATTCTTTACGATTTGTTCGCAAATTTCTACAAATTCTTCGAATGTCGTCTTTTCAATAAAAATTCCAGAAAATCTCAAACATGTTTGTGGACAATGAAAAATTACAGAAACCAACAAGATTACTTATTTTTGATGATAAAAGTAAATTTTTATTTTCTCAATCTGTTTCTTAACAACTAATTGTTTACTGTAGAATTTTTGTTACATTTTTGTCATCGTTATTTAATAGTCTTAAAAAAAACAATCCTAACCACCCAAATGGATGATTTTGAAAGTCGGCTTTGAGCTCAAACTCAGTAATTATACATCATTGAAACGTTTTACATGTCTCAAATGAATCCTAAACAATTTCTGCACAATACTACATTCTCAGTTCAACTACCATACATTGCCGGTCACTCTCTTTAAATACTGTTTTGTGTTGTCCAAAAATTCATTCAATAAATACTTTGAAAAACATTAAAAAAGACAAATAGCTTAGGGAAAAGTTCTCTACTGTTGCTTTCTCTACTTGTGTATCATTAATCTTTTCAAAATTAAATCGATAATCGGTATTTTTTGTGGTCCGACATAATTATAAACTTCTATCTACATATCTTCAAAATTAGATATTTTATCTGTTTGTAATGTTTTCTTTTATATTTTTGTGTCTTAGTCTAAAGTTCAAGAGTTTGATATGATATGATAGTTTGATATGTAGATTAAAGAACGAGAAATCAACTAAATATTTTGCCAGAACCTTCTACTAATGTCATCTTTCAGTCACGCGGATGAAAATAATGAAGTAAAGATGTTTCCTTGTCAGGGGCGCATTCAGGAATTTTTCCAGGGGGGGGGGGGCTACATTTTTTTTCTTATTCTAAACCTTACTCCTAAACCCTACTCCTAAACCCTACTCCTAAACCCTGCTCCTAAACCCTACTCCTAATCCCTACTCCTAAACCCTACTCCTAAACCCTACGCCTAAACCCTACTCATAAACCCTGCTCATAAACCCTAATCCTAAACCCTGCTCCTAAACCCTGCTCTTAAACCCTACTCCTAAACCCCACTCCTAAACCCTTCATCTAAACCCTTCTCCTAAACCCCACACCTAAACCCATCTTCTAAACCCTAATTTAAACCCTGCTCCTGATCCCTACTCCGAAACCTTTCTCCTAAACCCTGCTCATAAGCCCTGCTTCTGAACCCTACTTCTAAACCCTTCTCCTAAACCCCACTCCTAAACCCTACTCCTATAAACCCTACCTGTAAATCCTTCTCCTAAACCATGCTACTAAACCCTACTTCTAAACCCTTCTCCTGAACCCCACTCCTAAACCCTGCTCTTAAACCCCTCTCCTGAAACCACTCCTAATCCCTGCTTCTAAACCCTTATTCTAAACCCTACTCATGAACCCTACTTCCAAACCCTTCTCCTAAACCCTGTTCTTTAATCCTACTCCTAACCCCGGCTCGAACCTCTACTCCTGAACCCTACTCCTAAACCTCTTTCCTAAACCCTGCTCTTAAACCCTTCTCCTAAACCCTGCTTCTAAACCATACCTTTAACATTACTATTAACCCTACTCCTAAACCCAGATCCTAAGCCCCGATCCTAAACCCTGCTCTAAACCCTACTTTTGAACCAACCTTCTGAACCCTACTCCTCAACCTTATCCTGAATCCTTCTGCCAAACTTTTCTCCTCAACCTTATCCTGATCAACTCAATCCTTAAAATGTGCTAGGATGAACTCTAGTTGTTAATGTTGAGATCTATGATCATGAACTGTAACGATATATCTGTATATCTCTATACCTACCTAGATATACAGAGTAGTAGACCAGAGGCAGAGCTATAGTGTGCAAACGGTGGAACCAGTGGAACCAAACTCTCAAAAAATCAAAAGAGACATTTAATTAATGAATCAATGGTCTGAATTAGAATCGGTAATAATATGAAAAATAAGCCAGTCAATATACACTGGACTTGTCACTTGTCACATGGACACAGAGGCTGGAAAATAGACAGTAGACACTAAATACTAGACACTAGACAGTAGACACTATATACTATACACAATATACTATACACTAGACACTAGACACTAAATACTAGACATTGGACACAAGTTACTTGTCACATGGACACAGATGCTGGACACTAGAAAGTTATAGACACTAAATACTAGACACAAGATACTATACACTAGACACTAGACATTAAATACTAGAAACTAGACACTGAATACTAAATACTAGACTGAAGATACCATACACTAGACCTGGACACTAGTCACTTGTCACATGGACACAGATGCTGGACACTAGACACTAGAAACTAAATACTAGACACTAGACACTAGACTTTAGACACTAGACACAAAACACCAAGCAAAGAACAGTGCAAAAGTGATACTAAATTATACTAAATAATAGGTAGAGAAAAAAAATAAACTTATATAATTGAAAATAAGTTATTCGAAAATCCATTTTAAAATCTCGCAGGTTTATGCAAATTCTTTCAGCTAGGGTAGCTCGTTGGAGGTTTTCTTTATATAAATTTCGAAGACGACATTTTGAAGAAATCTGCAAATAAAATTAAAGATAATGTTGATAATGAAATAATCAATTCTATGGTTCTACAATTTATTTCATCGATGATTTATTTAAAAAGAAATATGTTCCTAAATATAAAATTGGTCTATAAAATATTTTTTTACATGTTTTGTCCTGGTTATTTAATAACTAAATCTATATATAAATTTGGCTTGTCTGTCTTGGTGTCTGTCTGTCTGTTTGTATCCAATAACCGTCAAAACGGCTGAACCGATCGGGCCCAAATTTTTTGTGGGACATCTAGGGACCCCAGGGAAAGTTTATGAATGATTGAAATTTTAAATATTTGTCTTCATCGAAATTCGATCGTCATTAAATTTTTTAAAATTTTGAAAATCCGCGAAATTTTTTGTGAAAATCTGCGAATTATTTTGTTTTGTTTTACGATGTACACAAAGAGAACATGTTCACAATTAATTTAGAAGATGGGCGCGAAGCGCCCTCTAAGGCTAGTCTATATATAAATTTGGCTTGTCTGTCTGTCTGTTTGTTTGTCTGTCTGTTTGTATCCAATAAACGTCAAAACGGCTGAACCGATCGGGCCCAAATTTTTTGTGGGACATCTAGGGACCCCAGGGAAGGTTTATGAATGATCAAAATTTCAAATATTTGTCTCCATCAAAATTCGATCTTCATTAAATTTTTGAAAATTTTGAAAATCCACGAAATTTTTTGTGAAAATCCGCGAATTATTTTTGTTTTGTTTTACGATGTACACAAAGAGAACATGTTCACAATTAATTTAGAAGATGGGCGCGAAGCGCACTCTAAGGCTAGTTTAATTAAATATACACCTCAGTAACATTTGAATATAAACCTCAGATACAATAGATTGTCATTTTTTAAAAATAATGATTTTTTCAATATTTTTCCTGTGTCCAGTAGCAATAAAACATAGATTTTTATATTTAATGTACCTAAGTTATATAATTAGTCTTGTTTAGATAAATGTATTTTTTCAGCGATCTGTTACAACAAGAACCTGGAGATTCTCCGAGTTTGAGTACATCACATGGTTTGATAAACCTCTCCAGCAACTTCTCTTTTGAACTACTGTATTAATACCAAGTGCAAACCTAGTAACTCTAGCGTCAATATCTCTTAATCTAAACTTCTGCCCGGATAGATTCATACACCAAACATAGTCTCTATCTTTCGGAGCCCGTTAGTTTATTTCCTGATTTATAAATTAGTGAAATGTCCTGTAGTACGACGAATACGAGTCTGCAGAATGTATATCCAATTCAGACATTTTTACCCTAAACAAGTTTTAAGCAAGCATTTGATATTTTTTTATTTTAAAAATAGAGATTTATGACTTGTGACCACTTGATTCAGTGGAAAACTTCCATTAGCGACAGAAAATCGATATTTTCTACACAGACTTTAAGCTCATATATCGAATATCTAAATTGAAATCCAATTTTATTTTTATAAATTCACTTTTCTGAGAAAGTATGGTGTAAATCGACCTAAAGCGAACGACTCTTATTAAAAGACACCATTTTTTGTGCAAAATTTTTAACTGTTAATACTAAACTACATTTATATAGTGCATCAGTTTTCAGCCTTATATTCATACCTGGAAAAGGCTTGTATTTCATTATCATGAGGAATTTATTATCGCATACATACAAACTACTATTCCAGTCAGCAAACCTAGTATCTTGCTGAATTGACACTTGAGTTTTATACACTAAAGGGTGGCTAATTTTAGATATCCTTGCAAAATTCTTAGAAACCACTAACTATCAAATAGCTTAGCTCGGCAACTCTTGAAATAAGTTAGTGATTCAGGGCACGAAGTCCAGGCAACAATCCACAGCACAACCTCTATTAATTTTAACTTTGTCTTGCTTTCTCCATTGTGAACTGACATCTGATATTCAAAAAGTTTTAAGACAATGTTTTGGAAATTCATATTTGTTCTCAACCTGTTTTCTACTTTGTATACAATTTACATCTTAGATTTTACTTTATTGTATCTTTTCTTTTCCTGTTTTATCTTTCTTATCCTCACTTCTTCTAATTCTTCTAATACAAATCCCCCGTTCTTTTTCAATGACCTGTTCTGTTCATCTCATTTGAGTAACAATATCCTTTTGATACAATGTCAGAACCTGCTAAAAGTTTGTTTAAATAACGTATATTGTGAATATCTTTATGCTTATTTCAATGTAAATCCGTCAAAGAAAATGGAAACAACCAATATTTGTCATTAAAATATTGGATATTTCCGTTCAACCCTTTGATTGAGGAGAAACCTACAGTTTAAGTATCCAGCCTTGAACCCATCTGGTTCTGGTTAGAATAGTGTGATTCTGAGATGAATGAATGTATTATTAAATGAATGTACTGTTGTCAATTTTTTATTACGTTATTTCCGATTATGTTCGGGCACATGTTTCATTAAATTCATAACGCCATAATACATGATATAGTATGGAATTATCTTCATAATATCCATTTCGTTTTCTTTTAAAAATCCTTTCTTTTTTCATATTTTAAGAATATTATATTTTGTATAAGACCGGGGTTTTTATTGATTTAAAGAGAGTCTGTACTTTCATAAAAATTTAGATCAAATTCTCTTTTTGAGATCGAAGTATTTTCATGCATGTGTTTCCTTGTGAACGGTTTAGATATTAGGGGTTTAAGTATTTGTTTTGTTTCCCCCTTTCATTGTTGAAGGGGATCGCTTAAAAGTTTATAATTGAAAGTCGGATTAGTTTAAACCTCACTATACCACACGATGCAGGCCAGGGGTCAGAAAAAATTTCAATATCTACCAGCTCCAAGCTGTAAATTGTGTAAATGAAATTTCAGAACATCTTCAAAATGTTGTCTCCAACATTCGTATCTGCTCCGCACTCTTTTTCCCAGGTATTTGACTATTGTGTCTGTGTGTCAATATTTTTTTATTGAGTATCCCAGGTTCTTAGAATGAAGACCTAGCGGCATTGTGAGCAAGATAAAAAAAAATATACTGTTTCTTTATCTAAACTTGAGTTCTCAACCAATTCAGTGGAAAAATAAACAAACTGCATTTTTGTCAAATGTCAGTGTCAAAAAAGGGTTTGCAAGAGGACGGACGGAATTAACCCACGTAAATACATTATTCTTAGGACTATAGAAAAGATCTATTTCAAGTCAAGATGGAATAAATCGCATTAAATCGATCGATAAAATATTTACTGACCAAAACTTTTTAAACTCACAAAAATGATGTAATTGGGTCACTAATCTTAATCCAGAAAATAATCTAATGTCAGAGGGGATTTTCTGTTGAGTTTGAATTTTTAAACTTATTAAATTACTGAAGTACTGTTCAATCCGATTATAGTAGAAAAGTTTTTTCTGTTTTAAGATTCACCTTTTCTTAAATTTCAGATATTTTGATACACTAATTTCTCCTCCCTAGATATATGATCCCTGCTCTGGTCAGTACGTGAATATCAACTCATTTTCTGCCCTTAATATGTCAGTTCCAACCATGAAGGCAGTTCGGGTTCACAGATTTGGTGGCCCTGAAGTCTTGAGTCTAGAACAACATGTTCCTATTCCCCCTCTAAAGGAGAACCAGGTGGATAACTAATGAACCCCTTACCCCATTCTTAACCTCCTATCCCTACACCTAACATTTTATGCACGTTTTTTTTGGTCATTTCCTGTCACTAAAGACATCGACATTATTTTAGATTTATAATTAATTAGGTACTAGTTAGGGTTCTCTTTGCTGGAGTAAACCCTGTTGAAACCTATATTAGGGAAGGGCAATATTCACGTCTCCCTGAGCTTCCATACACCCCTGGCTCAGGTAAATGTTTGTTGGTCAAATATTTCAAATTATTCTTGACTTTGATGCTACAGGGTAACCCACAAAGGATGAGACTTCAGAGACGATTGTACGGAATTTATACTGTCTGTTTACTCATATTCATGAACTGTGAACTTGTTTGTTTGTTTGTCAAATCATTATATAAGCCAATAGATCACTATATCTAAGGCATAAAACTTAATTTAAGCTTGAGGTCGTCATATTTTAAGATTTTCCTGTCTTTATAGTCTCATCCTTTGTGGGTAACCCTGGTAAGTGCTAAATTTAGAAATTTAGTGCTAAAAAAGATATTCATTTTTTCGTGGGTGGAAGTACTGTTGCGGTAGAAATCCACTGATCCTCTAATTAAAGTTGTGCTCAGGATCCGGATCAGATTAGAAATTTACTTCCAGTTTGATATGAAAACTAATGTAACTTTTTTGTTTTGCATTAATAGAATTTAGTCATAATAATCAGGATCCATTTAATTTTGATGCGGTACAGGATCCGTATAAGGATCCAGGTCTTTCCCTTAAGATTTACTGAATTATTTTAACATAGCAGAATTTTCAAATTTGTTGTCTTATTTTTTCGCTTATTCTTTGCTAAAATTTGATGAACCATTCAGAAATCAGGAAATTTTTATAATCTCTCTTTTCAATAGTTCAGATTTGGGTTAAGAGAGTAAAAAGAATTTTGCAGTTTTTGGTTGATATTTTGCCCCTTGGATCACCCCCGGCTTCAGTGTGTTTCATTATGCAACTTATTTTGTTTTTCTAAAATTAGTCAGTAAATTTTTTTTTCATGCATATGCAATATAATACTATGGATGCTTGTTTGAAGGGATTGTTAACGTTTTTTAATATACATTTAATAAACCTATTTTCTTAATAGGAGCACTACGAAGCACGAAAAGATGTCCGTGAGTAAGATCACGAATATCAACTCAATATCAACTCGAAAAATTAATGACCAATTATTCTAAAGACACGATTTAATGGACCTTTTTCTGTAATCAATAAAATACAAAGTTCTTCTGCAGAAGATATATTATTCTGGTCCAAACATTTTTGATCAGTAATATGATTAAGAAAGTGGGAAAATTAAGCAATGTATGTTTTAAAATAAGTAAACAATCTCTTAAGGGATGTTTTCGGGTGACGTTTTATGGTTTGAATATTTTCTATCCTCCCTATCAATTAAGTTAGAATTTACTTTTACATTGAAGATGCTGCTGGATACGTGCATCAAGTTGGAAACGCTGTGACTAGCTTGAAGGTTGGTGATAGAGTTTTCGTCGCCGGAACATCTTCTAACACCGGGAGCTACGCGCAGTTTGTTGTATCAGATGATACATATGTATTTCCGCTTCATGAGAGGTTGTCTTTCGCTCAGGTATAGAATGAAATACATTTGATGGAATCGTCTTTAAGTTGAATGTTGATGGAGTTATCTTTGTTTTTCACGTGTATGTAAAGGCGCGTATATTGATTATTATTAATTACGCAACCTAGTAAATATATTCAATTGTAAAGATCTCACTGATGCTAATCTCAGATTCATAAAAAAAAATTGTGAACATCGTTAATTTCAATTGAATTTCTAAATGATATAATGATTGTAACTGAAACGTCCTTTTATTTTTGTTATATTATGGTACTCCCTAATATTCACGTCCACGTCCTTGAGTTTACATTTTTTAAAAATCAGCGTCCTACTATGGTGCCAAGTTATGTTTGCACACTGTTTAAATATTACGTTTTGTGTTTCCCTCCCCCCACCCCTTTAAAATAGAAATTACTATCTAGGGAGCATCTCTTGGAGTACCATTCTTCACTGCCTATAAAGCGCTGATACTTCGTGCCCAAACTAAACCAGGAGAGGTTGTTCTTATCCACGGAGCTTCAGGAGCAGTCGGAACTGCGGCTGTTCAGATTGCCAGGTAGGTTTTGTCTGAGCTAAATATTTTCACGATTTTTTTTTTGAATTAAAAAGGAATTGAATTTTTTAGGTAGCTTTTTGATTCTTATCCCTAAATTTTATTCATTTGCTCAAAAACATTTATGAACTAGACTGTGGCCAAGTTCACAACTCAACTAAAGGGGCGGGTCAGTTTGACCAATTTGAATACATTTGGGAATCCAGTCTTCATTTCTTGAGGAATCTGAATGAAATTTTGCACATGTGCACCATTTGTGTTTGTTTTAAGTAAAATATATAAAAAATTGAAGAGGGAAAAATTTCACTTTTCATCATTGTTTCATGTTATTTAAAGCTTTTTCACTAAAGTCTTATGCTTTACTTTTAGAATTTGCAAAGAAAAATTGTAAATTAGAAAAAATTGAAATTTTTTGGCACTCCAGTTTTATAGGAAACATGTTTGCAAAAAATAATGTCCAAATATTATAAAATATACATTTTTGAAAAGCCCTAAACCAATAACCATGCCATTTCAAATATGCAAAAATTTTGAATAATCTGATCTGGAAAAAAGAAAAATTGAAAATGTGCAAATTTTATTTGACGGGTTGTATGCAAATAATTTGCAAATTATCTCTGCTAAACCTGCGCAATCTGTTTCCTTATGACGTAGGCTTTCTAAAAAGCTAAAAATTATCAAAATCTGACAACAGAAAGTGGGTTAAAATTAAAGTTTTTTTCAAGGAAATATATAGATTTACCCATCTTGGTCTTTTCTTTTTGTTCCGGTTCTCCAGACCTCATCAATTTTATTATTGAGCACTTCATATTTTAGAGCAATGGGAACAACTGTAGTTGGAACTGCAGGGACTAAGGAGGGTATGGATGTTGTGTCTAGGTGTGGAGCGCACCATGTTTTTAACCATAACCACAAGTCTTATGAGAAAAAGATGGTTGAACACCTAGGAACTGGTTTCGATGTGATTATTGAGCATCTTGCCAATATAAACCTAGGGCACGATCTACAGATGTTGAAGCCTAGTGCCAGGGTCATGGTAGTCGGATGTAGAGGAGCCGTTAATATCAATCCAAGACATCTAATGCTACCGGAGGCTAGCATAAGGTGAATTTTCAGTTTTCTTAAAATTGTGTGATTATGCCTTGTAACTTAAATCATGTTATTTTAGGGGTGTAGCTCTGGGAACATCTACACCTGCTGAATGGTCTGAGATGGGTGCTGCTATTGTTGCTGGTATAGAGGCGGGTTGGGTCAACCCTGTTATAAACCAAGTAATCCTAACATTGACTTATAAATACCTTTATAGTTAATAGTTTCTTCTAGTTATTATAAAGAAGTCTAAACGTCTGTTCATGCCCTGTAACTTTTGAATTTGAAAAAATTGAATTTATTCAAATCAAATAAACTCACTCACCTGTCTAGAGTTTCGAAGCTATACTAGGGACAAGAAAATAGACTTATTCAACTCAATTAAATTTTCTTGAATCTTCTTTGTTGTGTTTAAAATATTTTGAGTTTCAGTTAATAAAGCATGGACTCAAATTTTCCAACACCCCGTTCTAGTAGGGAGGGGGGTGTAGAGCATCTATTAGCACCGCAAACTGACCTCCGGAGCCTCCTGATACGCAGAATGGCCTTCTAGCCAATCAAAATCGTCTCCAAGCATCATGCTACGTCTGATAGGATCCCCAACTCTGTCTCACGTCCAGCAATTCGATATCCAATAACAAATATTTGGCTCTTACATCCACCAAAAGCCTTTTTCCGAAAAATTTCAACATGTTCATCAAGTCTTTAAAGGTAAATTAACAATTTGTGTTAAAAAGTATACTTTTATTGAGATTAAGACTTCTAATTTTGTGTTTCTAAATTTCACAAATTCCTAAACTTGTGCAGAACTAATGCAGCTTTAGATAGAAAAAGACAAATTTGATCAAATTTCACACTCACAGGTGCATCATGTACAAATCTAATACCACAAATTCACAAAGCATTGGAGTTTTTGGGAAAACTTGAATAATGAAATACAATCAAAGCACAAATCTAAGTATTTCTCAATAACTAATTTGTTTTGTGAATTCGCGGTAGTTTAATTAGATTTTTATATGATACACCTGTGAAATGATGTAAAATCTTTTCTTTATATAAAGATGCAATAGTTAAGGAATTTGTGAAATTTAGAAAAACAAAATAAGAAGTCTTAATCTTAATAAAAGTAGACTTGTTAACCTATTGTTAATGTTCTATTAAAAACTTGGTGAGTTTTTTTCGAAAAAAAAGGCTTTTGTGGATGTAAAAGCCAAATTTTTGTTATTGGATATAGAATTGCTGGACGTGAGACAGAGTTGGGGAGCCTGTCAGACGTAGCATGAGACTCGGAGACGATTTTGATTGGCTAGGAGGCCATTCTGTAAATCAGGAGGCTCCGGAGGTCAGTTTGCGGGGCTCATGGATGGCCTGCACCCCCTCCCTTGTCCTAGTTTAAATACTAATTACACCTTTTCTAGGAGTATACAATGGATGAAGTTCAACAGGTCCACCATGATATTATTCACTCTAAAGGAGCTAAAGGAAAACTTGTTATCAGGGTGGTAGACGAATGATTCCTGTCATACTAGGAAACATTTCCTGAAAAAATCAAAAGGCTGGTGGATAACAATGGCTATTTGTGCTAGCTTGTTTGCATAATTGTTTTGTACATAATATTGATAATTATTGCTATTTAATTATTGTCTATACTCTGTGATATTTTTATATTTTTCTAGTTTAGATATTATATCATACAAATAATTGCATATTCAGTCTTGCTTGGGTTATAAATTAAATAAAGTATCAGGTTGCTGGCTGGGTTGAAATATATTGATTAATCTTAATAGTTTTTATTTACTTTTTTATATGAGAGTAATCTCAACTATTGTATTTCAAGAAAGAATGGAAGAGCTGCGCTTGATGTCTGGGAATAGGAATCTTATGGCAAAAAAGACTAGCGTAAGTTAAATTCAGGAATTAGCATTGACTAGTAAGGGAAGTCGACGCGGACGAACCCAGCTTTTTGGTGATTAGAGGAAACTGTCTAAAATATTTATGGCACTAAAAGGGCTATAATAGTGTTTGATATTAATGAATATTATTTAAGCACAAAATTTATCTCGTGTTCGGGTTTGCTGGTTTGGTTTGATCATATAGCAGATTAAATATGACGTGTTTACTGTTAATATGTATTCACGGAAAGTTCTGATTCAATAATTAGATAAATTACTAATTACTTATAATGTCATCATGATAATTTAACTTGTTAGTTCATGATCTATTTGAATTTAAAAATCGAAATTTTTAGGTACTGGAGTGTAGGGTTTGTGAGGAGGTTTTTGGATTGCACGGAGACAAAATTCCTCGTCTTCTTTTTTGTGGACACACACTTTGTCACGCTTGTCTTTCAAAACTCCCAGCTGAGGGTTTTATATCGGTATCGATAATTATACTTTATTTTGGAATATTGTATTGCATATTGGCGATAAAACACGTTATTAATTATTTTCTTTTAGTGTCCCTTTGATCGGCAACAGACCTTGCTCGGAAACAATGGAGTATGGGAGTTGAAAAAGAATTTTGCTCTTATAGAACTGATTGAACGAATCCAGTGTGAGGAAAACTTGAATTCATTTTCCACAGCTTTCCTGGAAAAGGAAAGGGAGGTATTGTTTCTATATCATAATATTTATACGTATATAATTTGATAGACCCAAAAGTTATTTAACTCTAGAGATTTCAGCCTAATTGATGAAGAAAAAACTGGCAGCAAATAATTTTGATTATTAAATTTCTCTTTTATTTTGATTTGACACTGACTAATGCCTGATTTGCAATACTTTTAGTTGTCTGTGACCTGTGATGAAGTAGAAAATCACCTGGCAGTGCTGTACTGTACAGTTTGTGGTACACATCTTTGTGAGCTCTGCGCGGAACAAACCCATTCAACCAGGTATATTTTACTCACAAGGAATAGAACTAAAATTCAGATAATTTTGATCCTTTATAAATGATGTCGAGGTTATTCACCATGATAAAAGCGTTCCAAGTGAACCCGGTTACATCTCTAATTGAAAGAAATGAAAATTCCTAGATTTAAGTTAGTAAGTGCATCTCTTCATTTTTGGGGTAACAGGAATTTGATTAATTCGTAGGTCTTCACTCTACATAAGATGGAGATCAATTATTAACCCCAAGATTTACACCTCATAATTGCTTACCTATGGCCAACTGTCACTTTGTTTTATCAATCTAACAACAAATGACAATTTTTGAAATATTTATTTTTGTATTTTGATAATTAAAATCTATTTTCTAATTGAATTTTGCACAACATTCAAATATAGAAATATATGTAACCACCCGCTACATTCGGCCAGAAGCCGGGCTTAAATAGTAATATTTATCCCAAAAAATGGATATACTTATTCTAATTAATTTTTCCCACCAGCTAATACTCCATCAGATAATATGTTGGACGCTATAAGCTTTCTCCCGGAGCCCGTTTATGTTGCTTGTTACAGCCTAAATATCTAATCTGTAGACTCAAACTTTATCCATTTAAGCGTGTCCTAGAGGTTTGATAACCTAATTTAAAGTCAAAGAAGGGTAGGCCTTTATTTTATACTAGCCTTAGAGGGCGCTTCGCGCCCATCTTCTAAATTAATTGTGAACATGTTCTCTTTGTGTACATCGTAAAACAAAACAAAAAATAATTCGCGGATTTTCAAAATTTTAAAAAATTTAATGACGATCGAATTTTGATGGAGACAAATATTTGAAATTTTGATGATTCATAAACCTTCCCTGGAGTCCCTAGATGTCCCACAAAAAATTTGGGCCCGATCGGTTCAGCCGTTTTGACGTTTATTGGATACAAACAAACAAACAAACAGACAGACAGACAAGCCAAATTTATATATAGATAGGGTCCTCAAGGGTTAATTCACAATTTTAACAATTTTGTAACCCTAACTCCTGTTCAGGGAAGGTCTGTACTTCATTAAAAAAACCACATCTAGCCTTAATTTTGACAAGTTTCGATAAAAATAATAATATTTATAATTCATTCACTTTTTTGTTGGTCACTCTGACTGTTCTTCGTTTCGTTCTTTAGGACACTAGCTAAGCACAGGAAAATCCCTTTAAGCGAGAAGCCGCGTGAGAAGCCTATTTGTCCTTACCATACTAGTCATGTAATGGAGTTTACATGTCTCCAGGAGGAATGTTCTGCGGCCCCCTTGATGTGCTATATATGCAAGGTAGTTCATATTTTAGCTTAATTACTTGTATCGATATCATGGATTTATTTTTCAAGCCATACATTTGATGTTTAGGATTATGGACGTCATAAAGGTCATAAACATAATCTTTTGGAACTGGAAGCCGAATCAGTCAGGTCTATTTTTGTTTAGTTTTTTAAGAGTTGTTTGGTCATGTTTAATGTGTATTGTAAATTGTGCGATTGCGTACTTAAATATTATCTAAAAAATGTCCAGCCGTTTCAGAGGTGATACTTTTTAGATGATATTTACGAATTGAATACAATCTACTTAACATTATTCTTGACATGTTTAGAGGAAAGAATAATTCGCTTTGACGTTGTTGTGACGATTCATTTGAGTTTTGTCAAGGGTTAAAATGGCCGGAGCAGTTCTGAAAATGAAAAAATTCATGGAAGATATGAGTGAAGCCAACAGAAGACTAGAACAGGTAAAAAACTGCTTTTAACCCATATTCCTGCTGCTCCACCATGTAACTGGAAAAATTATAAGGTTGTATCGAAATTATATTGTATATAGGTCTCCTAAATTGTCCTAGAAAAAACTCGTACCACTTGATCTTGGCTTAAAACTGAGCTGATAACCCATCTGCCTCTTAGTCCTTAGGCATACTGTCTGAATGGCATTGGCTACGGCATTCTATGCCAAATATATGTTTTTAATATGTTTTAGATAATAAATATAATGTGTATTATGTACAATGTAAAACACGTAGATATATTGACGAACTTCTTTTCATTAATAATGTTTGTTGAAGGCTCTGGTTGAAATAAAGGGAATAGAATCACATTTTAATGAGCCCAGCATGGAACATGAAAGTGGAACTGCTGAGTGCGCAAGAACTCGTGTTCGCGCATATTTCCAGTCTTTACGAGACCAGCTGTGCGCCCAGGAAGTGGCAGCACTTACTGTAGTTGACACTCATGTTCGAGAACGTGTTTGCAGTATACGACAGCAGGAGGAGGATATAGCGACGGTATTATCGCAGGTACACTTATATTTAAGTTAATCAGTGTTCGGAGTAGCACTGCATAATTTATCAGTGGATACGAGTTTTATCTCGTATAAAAGCATAAATAATATTGAACATATTTCATAATTTTGGTATCGTTGGAAAGCAAATGTCATTCAGAATTTTACAAATTTCAAAGTTATTTATTTTAAACATTTGCTTTTCTTACATCATACCAAATTTTGACCCTGAGAGAAATATATTAATAAAATGGACCGAAAGCGATCGTGATTTCTTTTTGTTAGTTTTTTCCTTATATTTTCTTTTAGAATAAAAATATTGCAAAGTTAAATAAAAGCAAATTTTTACGGAATAAAATCCTTACTCAAGATTACTTATCTTATCTAATAAATTATACCCTGTTCTTCCTTTAATATTTCTGATTTGTATTCACTTATTATTCATATTTTAAACTGATAACATATATTTTCATTATATCTTGAAGTTGAGATACGCACATGCAGAACAAAATATTTATATTCATTGTTATCTAAAATATATCTATCTAAAACTGTGACACAAATTTGTCTATGAAAAATCTGCCCTGCCTATGCATGCCCTTACTATGAAATGCCCTTACTATGAAAAGTCCTATCTATGAAATTTTTTATCTATGAAACGTCCTATCTATAATTTTTTATCTAAGAAATGTCCTATCTATAATTTTTTATCTATGAAATGTCCTATCTATAATTTTTTATCTATGAAATGTCCTATCTATAATTTTTTATCTATGAAATGTCCTATCTATGATTTTTTATCTATGAAATGTCCGTCTTTGAAACGTCTTTCTGTGAAAAAGGAAAACATTTTAATAAAAACATCAAATGAATCCTACCTCACTCTAAGCTTAACTACGCTACTTTTCTAGTCACTTCCTTTAATACAACTACATTTTATTGAAGTTGTATTATTTATAATTATATCTGACGTGTAAATGAAATATTGATAAAGTAGATATAGTGAAACTTAATGGAATGTCAGTGACCTACTAGATTTCATTTCAACTCTATTGTATTAACCGATTTAAATTGTCTAGTAAAAAATATACTCGAATTTGTTTATATTTTTTATATTTCTGTTTAATTGTATGGATCGTAGTTTATTTTCGTGAATTTAAAAATTAGAAAGAGAGCATTTGTTTTAAATTTTAGGTTGCAGAAGTATGTATACAGTGTGATCGAGTTGCCAGGCAGGATGATGCTAGAGTTCTTTTAGCCTCTCGGGAGATAAATAATCTTTTAGAAAGTGTAGAAAATCAGCAACAACAATTTTCGGTCCTTTGCCCAGAGCAGTTAAATCTAGACCCTGGTATTCCCATCACGTTTACCAAAGATAACAGAGTACATATTGGTCCCAAAATTGAGATGAGGGTGGTCACTCTGGGCCTGGACGGATCTGGAAAAACGGCGATTCTCTGTAAACTTAAGCAGGGAGAATTTGTACCAACCATTCCAACAATAGGATTTAACGTTGAAAGTCTAGAATTTAGAAATGTGAAGATTACTCTCTGGGATGTAGGTGGACAGCATAAACTTCGACCTCTTTGGAAGCACTATTACCTTAATACCCAGGTGAGATAAAAAAAAATGGAATATGTGCTTACTATTTTTACTTTAATTTGTGGTCCTCTGTACATAACAAGTTTAAAAAATAAACTTATTCATATTCATAAGTTATCACCCATTTTTAACTTTTCTGTTTCCTTTTGCCCTTCAGGAGTAATGAATCAAATAAATAAAGATGTGACAAGAAAGTTTAATGTTCCCCTATTCTTTTTTTTTTTATCTAGTGGTTCTTAATTACTATTTCTTATAAAGCAAACCTTACCAAATTTTAAGAAAAAATAAATCTGCTTGAAATATTTTTGAACTTTATTTCGAAATTAAATTTAAGGCAGTGATATTTGTCCTGGATGCTTCGGATCAGAAGAGGCTTCTTGAGTCTAAAAATGAACTTGTGAAACTTCTTTCAGAGAAGGAATTAAAAGATGCATCTTTGCTTATCCTCGCAAATAAACAGGCAACACATCTTAATACAAAATATGGAAAGTTTTTGAAGTATGACTAGGCAAAATTTCTCAACGTTTATCGACATCGTTTACAATTTTGCAGTGGAAATTAGTTCCAAAACTAACAGTTACTGGGCCCATTTCTGACACTGAGTGTTAGAAATGGGCCAAATCTGCAAAGTTATCTTTTTCAAGAGTATATAATGTCTTTATATCCAAGCCGAATAAAACAAAACTACACCAATTTATTAAAAATGGCTAAAACTATATATTGAAACAATAAATTCCAACTTTAAACTAATAATAAGTTGTAAGTATTTGTTTTTAATGATATTTGTTTTCATTTTCTAACATATTTTGAAACAATTACCGCATTTCAGTTCATGGTGTGTTTTGGGAGAATATACTGGTTTTGAGATAATTACTCGAACTCATAACAATGTCAATTTTCATGCAAGCATTTACGCGCTTTCGTAACAAACAAAAAATTGATAAGGTAAACAAAATAGAAAAAAAAGACAACCAGTTCTTTTATAATTTTAGAATTATTACGGCATTGAGAAATCAAAATAATAATATTATTTTGTTCATACAATATATAGACTAAACCAGAATTGCGGGAAATTGTTTTTTTTTTAAATGCTGGAAAAGAAATCCTTTATATTCTTTTATTTAACGGATAAAATAAAGAAATCTAGATTCAACATTGATCTTAGATTCTAGAAATAATTCAGCAGTTAATTTAGGCTTCATAAGAATTTTTTTTTTATTACAACTTTGTCAGTTATGAAAGTGAGTTTTGTTTTGAATTGTGGATTATACTCAAAACAGAAAAGTGGGTTTTGTCTCAAAAACACAACAATGATTCTAATTCAGGATATGTTCGAAAATGAAAAGGCTGGATTTGTCTTGGAAGCGGTCAAGTGTTTTAATAGAAAAGAACTCCTTTAATAATTTTGATTTCAGAAAATAATTTAATAATGAAATTGGTGTTCTCGTCATGATTATTAAATGTTGGTTATAGTTTTTACTATTGACTTTTACTCTCGATTTGGTCCGGGATACTAAAATCCCAATCGTTCGTTTCATATCTCTGTTTTAGGATATCTCGGGGTGTTTAACTATAGAGGAGATAACTGATAATTTTTCTCTTTATAAACTTTGTTGCGGTCGGTCCTGGCATCTTCAGGTACTTATTAGGTAGATAGGTGTCGGATCCCAGAAAGTTAAATTGAATACAAGTACAACTATTTAGTTTTAAAGAAGGAAAGTGAAGAGCACAAATTGGATAATTAATTTCATGCTTTCTATCTCGCCGGTTAGAAAAAGAAAAAGGGCAGAAGGGAGAGGTAGGGGTAGAACAAAGAAAGGTAGATGACTAGGTGGAGCTCTTGTTCTTTGAGCTTCCTGTTTTAACATTTTTTGGTTAACCCTTATTTGAAATATCACAGATTTGATATATATTCAAAGTGATAAATATTTCACCTCTATGAAAGAAGTCTTCTGGACGTCTTTTTTTGTACTTTAAAGTGTTGTTAGCAGATACAATGCCTATAAAAGGGGGAGGTGGGGGGGGTTGATAATACATTTTGCTCCAAAATGCCGTTTAACCCTCAAAAGTAGTAGTAGGCCTAATATTCGAAAATGTTCACGGTCTCTATTCCAAAGATGTGTTAAAGCTTTTTAGTGTACTAAACCTCGTTTAACGTTCAAAAGTAGGCATAATGTTCGGCAATTATAGTCTAGATTCATGATTATATTAAATAAAGAATACAGTCAACAAAAATGAAATATAGATTATAGTTGGAAATTTGAAGATAAATGACACAAAATTATATTTTAATCTTTTTCCTAAAACTTTAGAAAAGAGACCCAGCACATTTTCGAATATTAGACCTACTTTTTAAATTTAAAAAGGTATTTTAGAGCAAATTTTTCATAATTTTCCGCGATAGTTGTAACCTTATCTTTAATAGCTAAAGCTGACAAATCAATTAAGGTTTATTAAAAAATATATTTTGTTGCATCTACAAAAAGCACAGAACTTAAAGTTAACCAAAAAGGTTTTTTTTTAAATCCCATGATTTTAGGTTTTCTACCTTAAATGTGTTTTTTGGGCACCAAATATTTCAAATATGAAATCACTGATATCGTTTAATTAGTTAATTGTATTAAAATTAAATTTTTAGGCTTGTGATGCTAAATCTGGAGGCGGGCTTCAGGATGGACTTGATTGGTTATGTAGACAACTTGTTGCTGCTGGTATACAGGATCTTGGCTAGGGAAATAACTACATTTCTGTTACCTGTATAGTGAAGATATATTTATAGGATATATTTATATATTCTTGTGTATATATGTATATATAAATATGCTCCAAATGCAGTGTACCTTTACCATTTTTGAAAGGCAAGCATTCTCCGGGAAACTTTGAAAATCGCTTTTTTGTTGCTTAAAAGGCATGCACAATGCACATGCAATGAGTTTTACTAGGATTTAGTAATTGTTACTTTGAGTATCTGCTTTAAATTCAACATGTACAAGATCTAGAAAAGTGACGTTCCTGATATAAAAATTGTGATTTAATGGTTTTTGTACATAAATAAATGTTAGTTGAACAAATATCGAATTATTTTTTCTACCCGCCCTATGCTGGTTTGCGTAGGCATTTATCACGCAACTCGTAAATATAAAATAAAAGAATCACCAAAGAAATGCAGCATAATCTTAAAGAACCGGAATAACCAAGATCTTATCTGTTCTATGTCTTCATGTCGCATCTTTTTTTTTATAGAAGTAGAATTAAAGACGGCAGTTTTCAGGGATTTCGATTTCATTTTTTTCAAAGTTAAAAAAATGTCTAAACTTCATTTAAATTTCAAAATTACTCACTCGGAATTAATATTAGTTTATACCCTAATCTGGGCACTATGCTGCCAACAACTTGTAGTAAGAGGGAAGAGGACTACTTCCACTCGGAACATTTCTCTCCAATAGCTAACTTGTTTCATGCATAAACTGCACGCGCGCCTATCGGTACGAGGGAGGGAACCCCCGGACGCCATGAGCCTCCGCTATGCTGACACAAGCCTCCCAGAGTTGCTAGGCAGACCGAGCCTCAGCTATGCAGTAATGAGCATGCGCATTACATCAAAATGTGCCTGTATAAAACAGGAGGTTTTTTTAAATTTGTGTTTTAAATTTAAACAAAAGATTTTTTACAAATTATTTAACATAGTGGCATGAGAGGTTTCTCAAAAATGATAAGTTGTTATCAATCAGCATAAATAGTCCCTAATTATGACTAAAAAAGTGGTATTTAAAACTTTAAACAGTTTTAACACGAAAAGGAAAATATTTAGAAAAAAAAATTTGAATTTCATTTCATCTTTTTTAATAATTGTGGGCACCGAGACAAGTTGAAAAGGAAACGTCATTATTTCAATTTAAAACTTTAATGTAAATATCTTATATATATCTTTTTCAAGACGCTGGAATTTTGAAAATCACAATTTCAATGCCCTAGATTTACTAAATGAAAACGTAATAATTGTCGGAGGACTCGAATGTTTTGGTTTATGGGTGCTGGAAGACAAAAAAAGTTAACATGTGGCATGGAGTATGTTAATATGTGGCTTATTGCCGCCTGCCTTCCCACTGAGTGTTAGGAATGAGCACAAATTGAAAGACTGGGTTTTTGGTATCCCTGCCCATTTCCAGAGTAAAAGTCGATAATAAAAACTATAACCAACATTTTATTGAACATGACGATCGTACAACAATTCCCAATCTAAAACTTTTTTTAAATCAAAATTATAATAAGAGTTCTTTTATATTAAATCTCTTGACCGTTTTCAAGTGTGATTTTTTCTTATCTCTTATTCTTTAGACTACATCACAATGCGTAAAATGAATTAAAATTTATTTTGTAAAATGTAAAGCAGTTTTATCAACTGAACGAGGGAGGGAACCTACGGGCGCCATGAGCCTCCCAGATTTGCTAGGCAGACCTAGCCTCCGCCATGCAGTAAGATCCTCCGCTTTACAGAATAGCTTCCTTAAAACTTTAAACTTAAAACACCCATCAGGATTCCAATCCAAGGTTTACAGAGTTCCCTGTAGGGTAAACTACCATGTTATTTCACACAGGGTTCTGTTCAGCCACAAGAAACTGGAGAGTTCAATGTTTAAGAACCTGACTGTTCGGAGCTCCCTTGATGCTTACCAGTGCTGAGGATCCATTCAATTTTTATTCGGATCCGGATCCGGATCCTAGAAAAAAATGGATCCGGATCCAAATTGCTTACACATAAAACCAGATTCAATCGAAAGAATTAACGTCTTTCCTACGAGTTCGGATACTTGATAACAGCTATCATGAATCCGAATTTAATGCATTTGAGCTGCGTCTCAAATCCACCAAAAANTAAATGGAATCAACTATATTTGAGCGGCTTTTTCAAATTAAGCCGCGGCTCAATTTCATTAAATTCGGCCTCAAGTTTGTTAATATGGAGTATATTTAAAGCCACCAGTAGCAATATCTGGATCCAGCTAGGAAAAAATCTCCACTCTCCAGGTTTATACAGCATTAAAAGATTAATGCAGGCCTTCAATGTATCTTGTAGTTCCATTAATTTCTTTTCCATTTGTGTGCAGGGGTGTATACACCTCTGGCTAAACTTTTTCTAGTTAGCTATTTATCTGAAGTATTAATCAATTATCATAAATAGTGACTAATTATTACTAGTAAAGTGGTTTATAAAATTTAAAACATTTTTTACGCAAAAAGGAAAACATTTCGAGAAAAATTTCTGAAAGTAATTTTATATGATATTTTATTATCTTTGATTTAAGCGAATCCTTTTTTTGAAATTTTTATCAGATTAAGATAATCAAAAATTTGACATTGACAAATAAACTGAATCTAAATAAAAATCTCAAAAAAGGTATTGCTTAAATCAAAGATTAAAACAAATTAAACTATTTCAGTAATGAATTTCCAAATATCCTCATTACTGCGTCAGAAATGTTTTATTGTAAAACATAAACCTTATAAACCACTTCATGAGTCAATATAAGTTACAAATCATGACAATCTATAAACGACATTAATCTTAAGTAAAATTATTGTGCTACTATGTTGAAAATAAAGAAAAAAATCTTTAGTAATGTTATAATAGAATTGTAAGGAAGCTGTGCTGTATAGCGGAGGCTCTAACTGTATGGTGGAGGCTCGGTCTGTCTAGCAAGTATGGGAGGCTCGTGTCTGCCAGGCGTCTCGGGCTTTCCTCCCTCACTGAACACGCAATTATCAAGAGTCAGAGTCTAAATTGTTCAAAGTGTGACTAAAGTAAACTTAAAGGATAATACATTTTACAATATGTTACTCTTCAAATTTTTTGAATTTTTTTCATAAATTTACGAAAACAAATAATAAGTAATACCTAACAAGTAAACTGTTATTAAGATTTGTCTTAATTAAACGAAGTACATATATTATTGGTTATTTAAACAAGTGATTATATTATTTGAATAATATACAGGGTGTCCCACGAAACATGAATGTTGGTGAATAATTTTGAATTTCTTCTTCCATATTCTTTATTAGACATTACAGTCTTTCTGCAAATTATTTATAAAAAACTTTTACTCAAATACAGTTTACTTTGAAATCAATTTTAATATGAAATAACTGTCGTATAATATTTTTTGTTGTTCTCTTTGGTGTCAAACAACTTAAAAATTATTTAAGAAGACTAAACTATTTACAAACTGTCATGTTTCATGTTCTTTGATAAATGCCTTTTAACGTGAACTGAGAGTAAGCTCAAAATAATGCTTTGTTCGTCCGTAGATGAGAGTAAGCTGAAAAAAGATATGGCGTTCCAACCAGTGCAGCTCCAACATTTACTACATGTTTGTTAAAATGAAGATTAAGAACTCTCAGCTCCAAGCTAGCTTTAAATTAACAATTAAAGGTCTAAGGGTCTTTTATTTTTTCCGTTTCCTGCATCCAGACCCGAGTGGATCCGATTCCAACCAATCATGAGCGAGCATGGTCACGGTAAGGTCCCAATTGTGTTAAGAACTAAGAAGCATTGATTAACAGTTAGAAATAAATTATGAGTATTTTGATCCGGTTTTAGTAGTTAGGAGTCAATATGGGTCTGCAATCTGCATAAACATAAGATAAATACTAAGCACTTATCAACATGAACAAGAAATCCGTTGGAAATGCGTAAGCTTATGTCAAAAAAATGACACGTTTCGCCTGTCCAGAGTCAGTATTAGAATTTTTGGTAATCTGGCTTCTCCGATTTCTCCCACGTAAATATACTGATTTCATGTCCCATTACGTGGAATATTTGTAGTTAAAGAATATAGCTATCAGGGAGTCGTGGTTCATGAGTATAGACTGTATCTATGTTCAGACCTGAAAAAAAGAGAAGAAAAAAATTAAACCATCAAGCAATTTCAAGTTTTCAATGTGTGATATGTAGAACGAGAGAAGGTAGACATTTAAACCCTAACTGAACAGGACATGTGCTCCATTATCTCAACTATATGGAGGGTAAATATGGCCCCCTACCAATATAACAAAAAGGATAACACAGCCAGAAAATGTTAATCTTCCTTGTTCAAGTGGGTTTTTTTTTATTTTCTCGAAGTAGCGATTAATTGTTATTACAAATCAAAATAGTTCTTACTTCTAGATCCTATTTTCATGGCAGGAATACTTTCAAATGGCAGAGAATCATCTCTTTCTACACTTTCCATCAAGGTTTCTTGCCGTTCGAACCCTGAAAATTAGAGCACATACAAAACATATCCAACTACTAAACATATAAAATTCAAAACGTATTAATTTACAAAAGTTAAAACAAAACATATAAAATAAGAATTGTAATTAATTTTCACTTATGAATAAAAACTAAACATTTCGTAAAAAAAATTGACGCTAACTTCTCTTAGTTAAGTTTTCTAATGTGTGAATAAAAAATCTCACAACTCAGTTTCGTCAAGGGTTGAAAGTTAACACGAAAGCATAATAATATTCCTTCTTTAAAGGGAACAAACCTATGTAAAGAATATATTGACTAGTTTTTATTTGTTTTTTATATGTCTTGCATTGTTTAAATGTTTTTTATTTAGATTTTTGCGATCTTTTTTTCTGTAATTAATAATCATCTAAGAAATTTAATGTCCGATATGTATTGTATTTGATATGTTATATTATTTTTGATATAGTAACAATTTCAGCTTTCAACCGTTGATCTTCAATCTTCCATTTATTTTTGCAAATCGTATTTCGAGGATTTTTTATTTAAAGTGACATTTTTTCAAGGCAAAATTTTTTTAATTAATCGTTCCTGAAGGTTGTATGAGTGAGTTGGAACAGAAAATTTTTACCTGATCGGTTCAATCGTTTTTACGTTTAAAGGGACTATAAAGGAAAAATGAAAGGGGGTATAGGATGAAACCTGAGAATCTCAGGTTTTGAACGATACCTTTAAGACATCTATCTTATGTTCCTATCTTGAGAAATTGACATAAAACTGTGTCAAAATTATACCAAAACGGGCATATGCCAGATTTTGTATAGAAGTTGTAGTATTAAATAGATAATATTCAATAAGTACGCAACCAATCTGAAAACGATTATATCCCACAGGAGCCTGAGAATCTGTTTTCGTATAATTTTGACACAGTTTTATGTCAATTTCTCGAGACAGGAACATAAGATAGATGTCTTAAAGGTATCGTTCAAAACCTAAGATTTTCAGGTTTCATCCTATACCCCCTTTTCATTTTTCCTTTACAGTCCCTTTAATGATACAAACAAGAAAAGAGTTTAATTGAAGATTATTGCCAGAAAAATAAACAAAGAAACGTTTAGTAAAAAAAAATATGATTTCACTTACTGGGTAGTAAAAATCAGCTGTGCTACAAAATCTTAGAAATGCTTATTTCCATTTCATTATTTCACTAGGAAAATCTATAATTTTCTACATTTTTTAAGTCACTTCTAAGTTTATCGTCGCAAAAGATTTAAAATTGGTTTAGTTCTTTAAAAGTAAATAATAAATGTATGTAACTATTCTAATATTACCACACCTCATTTTTTTTTAAAGGTTTTAAATATTTCCTCCTTGAAAACCTTATTTTTTTTTGTCATATTTCAATAATAGATTACTTTCTTACCACCTGATTCGATCTAAAGTATTTACATATAAACTGGAATATGTCTGATAACTGCATCATAAAAAACCAACCTGGTCTAAACTGCTCAAGATCATTGTCAGGTCTGTAGAAGCAATCTGCGCCTCCAACTAAGGATTGATAGTTCGTTTCTAACCAGCGCTGTTCAGTCCCAAGAGTTCTCTCTCTACAAGCTTTGTATTGATCTTGCTCCTCCTTGCTGTGGTTCTTAACGTGCTTCCTGAGACTACTAGGGTCAGTGTACCTTTTTAAGCAACCATGCACCTCACACCTATATGGTTTCTAAAAAACAGAAGTTATCAAAAATAAGCCTTTTCACACGTCAAAGTTTAACCCTCTGGTTATTTAAATATTTTATTATTTAAAACTTCTAAGCAATCCCTCTTAATACTGTGGTGTAAGCTTCAATGGATGAAAAATATAGATGGAAATGTTTAAAGAAAAATATCTTTATTTTCATAAGATTGATAATAAATTGTGATATCAAATATATATTTACACTGAAGGCAGTATTGATTAAAGCTTTTTTAATGAAACTTTTTTAGGTAAAGGCAAAAGTGAGATTTTGAAGTATTTTTTTCTATACGATGTAATTATACTTAAATAGAATACATTCGTAATTTCAAGTGACCCTCCATTTATAGAGTGGCATGTCCGATGTACCTTTGAAACCTTCATTTCTCCATCGTTTCTGAAGCAAGAAATGTGCAAGTCACTTTTGTAGAAAAACCACAAATAAAAATATTCTGTTTTCAAAATGGGAAACATGGATGTTTAATGCAATACTTGCTCAGACAAAGCTTTGAAGGGTATTGTTGTGAATCAGAATATATTTTAATTTTTTTCTTAATCTTTTAGTTTGGGTGAGTGCAATGCAATGCAATGTAGAATGTAGATTGCCTGAGGAAGATGTAATATTAAAAGACCCGCCCCCCCCTCAGAGGGGGCACGTGTATGGGGGGATGGGGGGCTCGCCCCCCTTGTACGCCCCTGAAATTAATCATCCCCTTCTAGGGAAAGTTATGAAATATATACAGCTAGTGCATATATTATATTACCGGATCTTTGTGCGTCTGCTCGTGCTTTGCTCGATCTGAAGAATTGGAAAACTTCTTTGTGCATCCGAAGTCATGACTGACAGAGAACTTGCAGGCAAATGGTTTTTCTCCGGTGTGACTTCTAAATAAATGGTCAATTAAGTTTTTGAATGGATCACTGCAGAATTCACCCTAAAACAGGAAAACGGGTATCATTCGACCAGAAAGAAGATTAATGTTTTATTTGAGCTTAATACAACGGTCTCAATATATAAATTCTAATACACGCTCTTTTTTTTTGACAAATTGTCATTCTCTGGCACTGGAAATACTACATTAAACCCCTATCAACAATCTACATCTATGAAGTGACCCACCCTGTATTTTTCATTATAAAAAAAAACTGTCCCGGAAAACAATAAAACTACAAAGAAAATTTTTTTTCTCACCTACCCAAAGTACACTTTTGTAACTTAAAAATATCTTCTAAAAAGCTTACACCTCTGATTGTGTAAGTTCAAAAGTATATTTTTAACATACATATTAAAAACTTATCTAAAAATTTTTATTCCAGGCAAGTAATTTGAAATCCCATAGTAAAAAATAAATTCATGTTACCTAACGTGAATTTTTAGGTTCTCAAGTCGTGCGAACTTTCGACTGCATCCGTCTTGCTAAATATATTAATTAGATTAATAAAAATCTTTCGAGAAACAAAACGAACGAAGTAATAAACAATGATTGAAAAATTCAAATGCATCATGTTATTTAACGTTTTCTAATTACAGTCCAATATATACTTTTTTTAACAAGTGCGTTTTCAAAGGGATTTCGGGACACGGGTTCCTTCTTCTTTATAGCTTAAATTGATTTGATTATAATTCTCAGACCATTTTTTTCTTCTGCATAAATTTTAATGTTTTTATTTAAGTTTAAAAGAAGATAAACTATAGTTACATTTGTAATCTGAACCCCCCTGGTTTAGAATTTAAGTAAGCTTGAATATAGACAGTGATATGTACCCTTGAATGAGTTAGTGATAATAAATTGTTAAAATGGCAGGTTTATTAAACTTACGACACCTAAAACCCAAGCTCAGTTTCTCAGTAAGGCACCCATTAACAGTTGTAGAAATTCTAACACAGTGCAAGACAGTTCAGTTCTTGCAAATGCAATCCAATTCAAATATATATGTATATAGAAACCGAACGCTTTAGAATTCTAATGAAAATTCATTATTGGATAAGTTTACCTTACAATGATGAGGTTTTTCTCCAGTATGAACTCTAAGATGGGTTACCAGTTTGTACTTTGCATTAAAAGGTTTTAACCGTCGGGTGCAACCCTAAATATTAGACTTTATTTAACCCAAGAAACTAATAAGTCTTTTTTTGCAAGCACAATTAGACCCATTAGTCATTTTTTTGTTTTGTTTTTCAAAGATTAAATTTCAAATAAAAAAACCGTGACATGCTCATTAAATCAATTGTTTTAAAAAATTAAGCTAGTGAGAAGAAATATAGATGAGAACAGGATGAACTGAATATAGATGACAGATTTTAAAATAAAATATGAATGCATCGAAGACAGGTTAAGCAGCTGTAGAGATTACAAAATGGATGGATCATTAATCGACAGTTCTCTGTGCAATTACTCACTTCCTTTTCTAAATCGGAGAAAGGGGCGAATAGGGGTTAAATTTAGTGAATACTGCATAATCTGTCCTATCAGTCAAGATAACTTAGATTTCTAAAAAAATATAAAATATTTCTATATTTAATGAATTGTTTCCAGAACAGGACGAACTCATTTATCATCATTACCGGGGCAAGAATAGAATTGAATTAATATGTCAAAATGTTTCAAATTGTGGATAGATATATATTTGATAGGAAATATAATTCTCATGAATTTTATTACTGGTAAGTTTGAATAAAGGTTGGCGCTCAATACAGATTTAAGAAAATCAGTAAAAAAATATGGGCAAAAACGTTTCAAAAAAGTATAAATGAAGGCTTGAAAACCCACGAAGGATTAACTTACCTCCCACAAACATGGATACTCTTCACAACCTTTTCTCTGCTCAATATGGGATATGATATGGTCAACTAAACTTCTTAGGTCCATGCAGTCACGACCACAGTTCATCCATCTAAACAATTATTATTCCTCATTTTTTTTCTTGTTTTCATTTTTCTTACTTTCATAGATTTGAATGAGATCTTATTATTACTGTTAATTTTTTAATTGTTTTTTCTATTAATATGATAATAATTTGCCTGCAAACAGATGTTTCATCCTGATTATATTCCTCCCCGGGTTCCTCCTTGATAGAAGAATCGGGAGTATCTCTCTCAGACTCCAGGGACTCTGGATCAGCAGTAAAGACTGAAGCTGTATTAAGAGCAGGATCGCCATTGATCATATGATCGTATGATGGGTAAGGTGGGGGAAGATATGGAGTATTGGGAGACACGGGATAACTTTGCATGGGTTGTTCATAAAAGGGAAAAGGTGATTGATAAACATAATCTTGAAGAGGTGAAGTAAATCCGGATTTAGGCGGAGTAATATAGCCAGACTCATCTCCTGATACTTCCATGTTATGCATATTTAGATCATAGGAAGATAGAATTGAATGTCCAAATTCCCCTACCGTGTTTTCCATGAACCCTAAAGGAGAGGAGTGTGGTGAACACTGCAAGGATGAATGACTTGATCGAATCTTAGCTGAGAACTCCGTATTAGAGTGATGGGACGTGATCGATACTCTAGGAGTGTTAAGGTTTGAAATGGCCGGAGATTGAATCATAGGAGAAGCTGAACTTCTGCTTTGGAGATATGCTGTTTGATGAGAATAGAGAACAGTATCTTGGTCAGGTAAGATTTGAGGTTCCTTTTTAATCTCAACATTTTCCTGGTACTGGGAAATAGGAAACTGAAAGTACTGAGGTCCCTGGTATGAATTATAGACATGAAGTGGTGAAGATGGAAGTGAGAATGATGGGTCGGGAGAACAAGGGGAGTGAAGTTCACTGTTGTAGAGTTGATGATGATCCAGATTTTCTAGCAACATTTTGTTTGTACCTTCTTCCAGGTCCGGTTTGATACTAGATTTAACCTTAGCAACTATATCCTGTGAGTACAATGAACGAAAAGGTTTGGGGTTCGGCAAATCATTCACTTTACCTGAAAGAAAAAATAATTATATTCTTTTAGTATTTTACATCATCTCATGATCATATTTGAATTATGTGCTACAAAAAATGCGCGTCTTTTGGAAAACTGTGTTTTAGGGTCCGTCCTAGAATACGATTTTTGGACACCCTACCCCTTTCAATTTTGTACATGACCACTTATTTTTCAGCAAAATATTTATTATTTTTTAGGTTAGCTTAAGAAAATTTCTGGGCCGAGCGCTGCGGCTAGGACAGGCTAGGGGGCCGAGCGCCGCTGCCAAGACATACCTTCAATTAATTTTAACAATTTCAACAAAATTAGCATATATTTAGGGTTAGGTTAGGTTTAGATTGGTGGGGGGGGGGGGGCAAAATCGTATACTAGGAAATTACCTTGTTTTACCTAAACTTAGTATTTTAAACGGTGAAAATCAATTTCAGAACTAGTAAATGTTGTTCTTCATCCGTTTAGGTTTAATATGGAACTGCGTCTGCAACTGACTGACTAGCCAGTAGCCAGAGCCTGACTCCTGAGTGACGGAGGAGGAGAAAAACTCGGCGCGGCTCCGGTGATACGCCGGGCCGGACAAAACCGGGGAATCAATTTTACTCCGCGACCGCGCATTTCATGAACCACGCGAAAGTGTCTTACTTTGCTCCTCCTCTTTCTCTGATCTACCGCTCCTCTCTTTATTTTTATTGTGCCGCTAAGTTTAACCCAATCCAGCGAACCCCGCACTTACTTATTAGAATGATCAGAATTATTTAATCTTATTTAATACCTGTTGTTAATAAAAAAAAAAAAACATTAACGGCATTTGAAGACACACTTCTTAAATAATTTTACTTCAAACATTAAAATGATTTGTTTCATAATTACTTAAATAACTGAATAAATTTGTTAATAATCTAACTAAGATTTGCAGGTTAAATGTGTCACCGGCTCTTCACTACTTCCAAGACTTCGGACCTATTAATTTCCCGACGCAACCCAATGATCAATAGCAATATGTATGTTGATGTATGTTGCCAGCCAATTTGGGTTGTGCATTATACATTCAAAAAGTGTGCAACCGACTTAAACAAATTAAAATTCGAACCTTACATACAGTAACCCAAGGTTGCACAATGCACAAGCTCTCACGCAAAAATCAATGCAAATTTTGCCAATTACTTCTGAAACATTTTAGCTAAACAAAAGTGTTTTGTTGTTCTAAAATTTACATGTTCACGGCTACAAAAAAAATAATAAGTGATTTAGTGTGGTAAAAATCAAAGACTAGGTCGTTGCGACACTCTAAAGTCTAGTCTTGAAAATTGATGCAACTTTTCATTGCTGTCTGAATCTCTGTTACCTTCGCGCAATTTTTCAAAAAATTTTGAAATATTTATAAACCGTCCCTGTTACAATAAATTTACATGAGTACATACTCTGCCTTTATAAACAGAATTGACGTCATATATAAAGAATTTTTCACCGATTTCAATATAATTTTAATCAATTAAATAAATATTCTCTTACTTTCTTCTAGTACTTCCCTTAATTCCTATTGACTCTATAATATGTATCAGAGGTAAGATCTTAAATCTTGATGGTAATGTCAGCATCTATTCTGATTTTGAGACAATTACTCGAATTCAAAACAATGTAAATTTTTCAAACATTTATACACTTACGTAACAAAACAAGATTTTTTGATAAGATAACTAGGTTTTCAGGGCGTTTCGTGCCCAGTTTTGATTTTAACTTTTAATTCATGCTCCATGCCGGGACATCTTCTCTTTTTAAATAATCAAACAATAATAAAAAATTTCGCGGATTTGTCGACTTTATTTATGGATTTTAAATTTTTTTAAAGGAAATTGTGACCATCCATAAACCTTTCCTAAGGCGATGTGAGGTTTAACAAAAAATTTGGGCCGGATCGGTTCAGACGTTTTAACGTTTATTGGATCGGACAGACAGACAAGCAAAATAAATGCATAATATATGCATTTTTACATTCTAAACAAAAACAAATCGCGGATTTATTATTTTTACGAAAATCGAAATTTTTTTGAGGCAAATTTTTCAATTTTGGCCATACATAAACCTTCCCCGGGGTCGTCATATGAGCTGCCTAACAAATGTTCAGCTGTATTTACGTTATCCTCTTCACCCTGAACTAGGTAAATTTTATGCAACACTATTCTACGACTTTGAGACCTCGTAGCTCCTCTAATGTTGATTTCAAGCACAAGTGAAAAGAAAGTTTATCCGGTTTCCAATAGCTCTTCAATACGATGGTTTATGATTTAAACATTTACGATTTCAACCTTACGTTCAATTTATTTTAGTTTGACGTACCTTGACATAATTTAGCAATTCAATTTTTGATTTCGGTAATTTAATTTTTAAGCTATGAAAGTGAATTTTGTTTTAAATTAGTGATTACACTAAAAACGGGAATTAATGGCTATGAAAGTGAGGTTTGTTCCGCAAACGCGACAATTCGGGATATAGTTCGGGATATAGTTCGGGATATATTTCGGGATAAAGTTCGGAAAATAGAAAACTTTGCATTGAGTTGAAAACGGTCAAGGGTTTTACAACAAAAAATATCCTTTTGCAATTTTGATTTCAGAAAATGCTTTAATAATGCATAATAAAATGTTGGTTACAGTTTTTCTTATCGACTTTTGTCTCGTCAGGAATTTGTCTCGTCAGGAGATTGTCTTTCAGGAATCAGGAGTTTGTCTTTCCAGGAGTTTGTCTTTCAGGAGTTTGTCTTGTCAGGAGTTTGTCTTTCAGGAGTTTGTCTTTCAGGAGTTTGTCTTGCAGGAGTTTGTCTTCAGGAGTTTGTTTTTCAGGAGTTTGTCATGGCACCACTTTTGCTCTCGATATGGGATGGGATCCTAAAACCCAATCTTTCAGTGTTTGTCCATTTCTAACACTGCTTGTTATAACGAATGTCCCTTTTAACGATGGATTACTGATTATACAATAAATCGGTTGTCACTGGCAGCACGGGCGGCCTATAGGGGGGCCTAGGCCCACGGACCCCATCCTAAGCTTCTGGAGGGGGGGGGGGGGGGGC